ATGAGGAGTTTGACCTTGCGCATGGTTTCAGTGTGGCTTCATTCCACAACAAACAGGAAGAAGCAGCTGTTGAGCTCAAACTCCTGTACTCCAAGTTTCCCCACCATAAACCAGTGTCGAGTGAACCAGTGAATCCTTGAGGCATGCCCAGCTACACCAGTGCAGGATTCCAAACAACTTCTCTGATTTTCACTTGCAACACGAATGTCTGGCAACCCTGCAATGTTGAACCAAGAACTGAAGAGTCATTCTAATATCCTTACATCAATAAAATGCATTCCTTTCTTAATGATGGGTCCAAATTTATATCCATTAGACTTACCATTAAACATGACTGGACAGCTTTACTCAAAAGCTAGCTAAGAATGGGTTTGCTGGACTTCTCTAAGAGCAACAAGCTACCGGGTGATATATAAATGGAGTGTGTTCTCATGCTCACTGCATACACATATATATGGACTGCACAGACACACAAGTGTGATATCCCTTATGTCCCATCTTATCCCTGATCAGTTCGGCACAATACAAATTGCCAAATGGTTAGATGAATTGCTCTAACCAGTTTCGAACAAGTCTTCCACTTATAATGGTGTATGATTCTTTCACAATTTTGAAATCCACACAAGACTTGCACATCAACAGTAACGCAGAAACCTTGTGGTCATTTGACAACACTAACCTATTCACCAATATACCATGCAACGTAGCCACAGACATCTGTACTGAGGCATTACACATGGTGACCTAGATCCACCTTCACGTAACTTATGAACTCAGCAACTTGCGCACTCAAGTCCAGTTTAAGCTCACTATGTACGTTCAAATAGAAAGTTTGGTCTATTGTTCTCATAAACATCTTTGATGGATCTATGAGAAATGAGCCTTTGTTTGGATGATACCTAGCCTCCTAACCTTGCATATTTCCCATATGTAGATGATTTATTCTGCACTCAAATTCACGTTTGAAGTGGGACAGTCAAATGAACTGCCCTTCCTCAATGTTTTGCATCCCTTTTCCAGTTGAGAAATTGGTTGAGGTTCTCTGCTACTACTTATCACAAGCCTACTGGTCAGTATACACATTGGGATTCCTACAATTCCACACACCATAAGAATGATCTTATCAGCAATCTCGTAAAAAGGGACTGAGCTATTTGCTCACCTGCAAAATTAATGCTGAAATAGGGCACATTAAAGCCTCCTCCAGGGATAATGGCTACACTAATCAGATCATTTCTAATGGTATGTAATGTAAACTCCTGGAAGGACCCAAGAGCATCATTCTTGGACCTGACATGTACCAACTTTATTTCAAATTACCCTGGAAGAGCAAGGTATTGCAAATGGTTTTAGCAAAAGGTGAAGCTAGTTGTTTCATGCTGCTATAATGTGAATGCTGTTCACCACTAACAAGATGCTACCATCAAGCTACCTATCACACAAATGAATAATGTGCTACATGAATTTCAGTGCTGCTGTGATGCCACTCAGTCCCAAAGACTGGCACATTGTAAGGAACATTATATCTCTTCAGCTGTTTGCACACAACCAGCCTGGCAGTTAACTGACAATCACTCATTGGTTGATTCTCAATGGCAATGCCTTTACCACAGTCTACTTGCCAGCTAATCAACCCTCTCAAGTCGTACAAATGCTGGTTTTCCCCACAAATTCATATTTTCACAAATTATCCTGATGAGTGCAAGACTAAAAGCTTTGACAAAATTCAGCTTTTCTCAGCGATACTCAAATAACCTCTTGTTTAAAACCCTTATTGTAAATAAGTTCAAAAATAATTAAAGACAGTAATTTGTTTCAAAAATTAGGTTAGTAAATGTATATTTTACAAAAGTCGTACCCAGACATTTGTAAAAATCTGCTGCACCAAGCAAGGAAAGCTCTCAGCAGCAAAATGTGTTAAACGTAGATGCAGTAAAAATAGTCACTAGCGAGAAAGTGGATTAAATCTGAAAGCATAAGATTTTTAAAAATAAGGCGACATAAAAAAATCAAGAGCAGCATACAGTACAGGCAATGGGGTCTAGTAAAATAGGCTAATAAATTCAATGGTATTTCCGTCACTAAGTCCCCAGTATTAACATGTATGGGTCACTGTTCATCATAGAAACATAGAAGATAGGAGGCCAATCGGCCCTTTGAGCCTGCTCCGCCATTCTTCACGACATGGTTGATCGTCCAACTCAATAGCCTAATTCTGCTTTCTCCCCATAACCCTTTGACCCCATTTTCCCCAAGTCCTTATCTAACCGCTTCTTGAATGCAATCAATGTTTTGGCATCAACTACTTCCTGTGGTCATGAATTCCACAGGCTCACCACTCTTTGGGTGAAGAAATGACTCTTCATCTCCGTCCTAAATCATCTACCCCTCCTCATACTGTGACCCTGGTTCTGAATACACCGACCATCAGGAACATCCTCCCTGCATCAATCCTGTCCAGTCCTGTTAGAATTTTATAAGTCTGTATGAGATCCCCAGCGCCCCCCAATTCATCTGAACTCCAGCAAAAACAATCCCAATCTAGTCAATCTCTCCTCATACGTCAGACTCGCCACCCTCGGAATCTGCCTGGTAAACTTTCGCTGCACTCCCTCGAGAGCAACAGCATCCTTCCTCAGAACAGGAGATCAAAATTGCACACAATATTCCAGCTGTGGTCTCACCAAAGCCCTATACAACTGCAACAACACATCCCTGCTCCTGTACGCAAAACCTCTCGCAATGAGTCAGCCACATAATGGTTACTTTGAACTATATATTCAATAGCAACTGGGTGACCTCCACACGTCCCAAAACTTTAGCCTACTGAGGACGAGTGCAGTTCCAGTGGGGAGGTGGTGCATTGTGGTAATGTCACTATAGTAGCAATCCAGAGCCCCAGGATAATGGCACATGGATCCAAATCCCATGACGGCAAATGATGAAATTTGAATTCAATAAAAATCTGGAATTAAAAATTAGTCCAATGGCCATCCTTTAACTACTGTTGCGTGTTGTAAGTAATCATCAGGTTCACTAATGTTCTTTCGGGAAGAAAGTCAGCCATCCCTACCTGATCTGGTCTACATGCGACTGCAGACCCACAGCAATGTGGCTGACTCTTAACTGGCCTGTCACTCGGTCTAGCAAGTTACTCAGTTCAAGCACAATTAGGAATGGGTAATAAATGTCAGTGATGCCTACATTTCATGAACAAATAAAAGAAAATGACACAGAAGGACAACGCAATCTACTTGACAGAGACCTTAAGATTTCTTATGTTATTAATGCTGCAGGATATTGATTCAGTATAATTAATTTTTCATTCATATTATTTATGCTAGAAGTGCATCATACAACAATTTTTCAAATTTTGCAAGTTATACAAGGCTTCCATGAAAATAAGCGAGAGCATTGGTCAACTAATTAATGAACACTGCAAAGTTGATAACAGACACCTGGGAGTAGCGTCTTTTTAAAAAAGCACTCTTGCATTGAGGTCTTCCACACAGGATTCCATTCCTGGCAGCAGCAAGTAGTTATGCTGAACCACATCAAACAAGACTATCTGCTACACAAGGCATACCTGGCTTTCGTTCAAATGACAGAACTGCTTACACCATGTAATTACCTAATTAATAAATAAGAGAAGCTGTTGTCAAATGCAGCAATATCTGATATACTCACATGTATGACAGTCTACAACTAATTCACCTATCTGCCCGTCTTCTCAAACTACATCGGCTGAGTCATGGTTAACCTAGCGCTGCTCGTAGTCATTTAACATCCTAAAATCTTGTAAAATAAATAAATAAATAAATAAATCAGAAATAACTTTAAATGTTGTTAGATTTCATAAATATAAATGGCAGGGAGTACTGAGTGAAACACATCTTGTTCAAATTACTTCTTCCATATATAGCATGAAGTAATACTCTTTCCCGTTGCTTGCTTCTGACGAAAGATCACTGTACTCGAAACGCTAACTCTGTTTCTCTCTCCACAGATACTGCCAGACTTGCTGAGTTTCTCCATCAATTTGTTTTTGGTTCTAGAGTTACCCTGATTATGTTAATTATGAGGCATGCTCCCCATGCACTCCAGCACAAATAACAAGGGGATGGGTGTGACTGTAAAGTAGTTTAAAGTGTCTGTTTGGGTATTTGATGTCAGGGGAATAAATTTGCAACGAAGGAGATGGTACTTGTGGGCCCCCATACCAAAAAGAAAAATTAACAACTGTTAGTAGACTTTTCCCCTTTGATAGGAAAATAGCAAAAGGAGTACGCCATTCAACCCCTTAAGCCCTTTCTGTCATTCAATTATATCATGGCTGATCTGTACCTTAATTCCATCTATCCACCATGGTTGTGTAATTCTCAATACCTTTGCCTAATGAAATTAAGATAATAAATGTTGTCAGGTAAATTTAAAATCAACAGAATTAGCTAATAAAAAAAAAGAAAATCTTACCAGTGTAGGCTTTAGCCAAACAATGCACATTGAGATATAGTTATGGTATTTCTTATTCTCAAAATATATAGGTTATAATTATTAGACAATTCAACTCTGGCATTTGATTTCAATGCTACTGATGATGCAAGTGCTACCCGTGAAACAAATCACCAAGGACACTACTTGGCAAGGCGCCTGAAATGAAACAAGTGTGATAGATACATACTCGATAGATTATCATTAGCCATGTGGATAATTAACATTAAAAAAGAACATTATAGTTGCATTGATTTTCATTCTGTATTATTAAATGTAAATGAAGAGCTCCATACTACCCACATCTTCATGTGAATCAGATTTGTCTCTTCGCCCTGAAGACTTTGTCCACAGCATCAAAACATCACAGCTAGAATGAACAGTAAGCACACAGACTCAAACTGTTGCTCTATACTGTCATACCATATATTTTGTCTGTCTATGACTTTCCACTCTAAGCATTAAGAAAACAGAAGTAACATTTCATGAGTGCTAGCATGCAGCCTTACCGATCTCCACCAGCAACAGGGGCACTCTCTCCGCTTCAGTTCCTTCCTGACCTGCCGATTTCAAAAAATATTTATATTTATATTGCCAGTGAGCCAGGGAGATAGAACCTTAAGACTGGCTCCATGAGAAGTCATTCAATGCACACAGTTTGGGAGCACTGATGAGACAGCCTAGAAAAGAAGACCTAACCTTCATACCTAGATTATACAAATGAGATTCCACTGAACAACAATGTAAGCATTCACGTGTACTCTAAAACTTAACATACTGTACTCTATCTACTCAAATACAGACCATAAATCTAGGATAATACCAAAGTCGAGATTATTGTGACATCTTACAAAACACATCACATTTCTGTTCCCCTGTTACCAGAGAGGCTCTAATGCATTCACACTGTATTTGCTGCAAACTTTTAGGCTGACAATTTGGTTTAGACTTAAAAATACAATCTAACTAAAATAGGCTGTAAAAGTAGCTTTCCAAACATGTTTATAAAATGGAGAGCTGCAAGGACCTGGCTTTCTGCTTTCACTGTGGGACATTACATTAGGAGATAAAAAGACAATGGCAGATGGAGATCAACGTGAGAAAATGTCAGGCCATCCACTTTGGATCAGAGCAAGACAAATTAGAAGAAGAGAACTTAGGAGTTCTGGACAGTAAACGATTTGAGGCATGGCGAGGACTGGAATGCCCTGAGTGGGACTGCGGCAGTGGAAAGGAAAGTTGGACTCTCAAGTTTTCTTTTCTTACCTTATTCTAAGTTAATGTGAATGGCGCCATGTATGTACAGCAAAGGTACACACTTTTCACTGTATTTTTACATTGAATACATGTGATAATAAATGATTCAATTAAATTCAACCAGGTATCCACGTAGACAAGTCAGTAAAACATCAGTGAACAGGTACAAAGAGAGATCAAGAATGATACGGTAATGCTGGGTTTTATCTCGAGGAGGTGAGAACGCAGAAGTGATGAAATGATATAGTCATCAACAAATCCTGTGCACCTTGTGTCGGGTGCAATGCAAAATTTGTTAAAAAATTGTTAAAAACGCAATTGGCATCTCTTGTTCTGTAGTGGCAAAGCGACCATTGGAAAGTTTAACTGTTTTTGCCTCTCTACAGATACTGCCAGACCGGAGTTTCTCCAATACTGTTTTTATTTCATATCTCCAGTATCCAGTTTTTTACTTTTATTTGATGACAAGGTGCTTCAGCTGCACAGCCTTGTTCAGAGCAGTCTGCTTTGGACATGACATTTCAGGGAAGGTAGAATGGCCCTGGAGATGGCATTGTGCAGAATTAAACCACAAGTAAAATTATGACATATCTAGCATAAATTTGGGTTGCATCCATTTGAATTTAGAAGGTCAAGGCATAAGATTCATGGGGTTGAATATCCTAGTATTATCCATATCTATTTTTAATATAGTCCTATTATTCAATCCTATGGAGCAATAAAAAAATCTATAAATGGCCTATAACTCAAAAGGCAACAGAAACATCTTCAAAACATTGACAAACTTTATGTCACTAATCTCTGGAGGGATAGGGTACAAAATAAAAAGAACCGGCTCAAATTCTGAACGTTGAAACAGCAACGTTTCAACATCATGGGGAAAGCAGAGCCAAAGAGATGCCCAAAACATCAGTAAAAGAATTCAGCCATCAGAGTGTCTTCAAACATAAACTAACAGGGGTAAGAGGTGAAGGCATTGAACTATGAAAACAGTCAACACTGAATAACGAGGATCAGTTCTTTCTGTTCTAAGAAAGAAAAATTGAATCAGTCTCCAGAAATAAAGAAATACTGTATTCATTAGCATATCGTGTGTGCTTTGTTTCAAATGCAATGATCTTGCAAAAATTGTTAAAAAATACAATCGACCACATCTAGCATCCAATGTTCACACAGCCTAAAAGATTTATCTATCAAGGGTCAGCCAGCACAATGCCCCTTGACTGCATAATTCTATCAATTACCAACTCAGCTGATAATCATGCATTGTGAGAAGGGTTCCATTACTGAATCATGCAGAAGTGATGCAAAATGAATTTTTTTAACTTTACCGTTGTGATCTTAAGCATACATGGTGCACTCGCACACGTGCGCACAAGTATTGCAACTGACTAGTTATTAAAAAATAGACTAAAACACTTCAGTCTTTACAGGACCAGAATAGCACTATACACAAGTATATAAGTGACAGGAACAGAACCGGGCCATTCTTCCCTTTAACCTGGTCTGCCATTCAATTACATCTGCCAGATCTGATTGCAAACTCAACTCCACTTTCCTTCCTGATAACTTTTGACTCCCTTGTGGATCAAAAATCTGTCCAGCTCAACTGTCTAGCTTAACTATATTCAATAACATAGTTTCCACTGTTCCACTGTGGTAGACAATTCCAAAGATTAATAACCCTTAGAAAATAATTTTCATTTCTATCTTGAATGACACCCATCTGATTCTGAAACTCTGCCCCAAGTTCTAGTCACCTGTATGAGGGGAAAAACACCCTCTTAGTATCCAACCTGAAAAGCCACTTCTGAATGTAAATCAATAAAATCACCTTTCACTTTCTTAAATTCAAGTGGGTAAAGGAGCCAACCTGCTCTATCTTACCTCACAAAACAAGCCCTTCATTCCAGGAATCAAAGTAGAGAACCTTCTCTAAACTGCCCACAATGCAAGCACATTCCTGGCAAAAGGGGCTGCACGGTGGCTCAGTGGTTAGCACTGCAGCCTCACAGCACCAGGGACCCGGGTTCGATTTTACCCTCGGGCGACTGTATGTGTGAAGTTTGCACGTTCTCCCTGTGTCTGTGTGGGTTTCCTCCGGGTGCTCCGGTTTCCTCCCACAGTCCAAAGATGTGCAGGTTAGGTGGATTGGCCATGCTAAATTGCCCATTGTGTTCAGGGATGTTTAGGTTAGGTGGGTTAGATGTGGGAAATTAGGGGAATGGGTCTGGGTGGGATGCTGTTTGGAGGGGTGGTGTAGACTTGTTGGGCCGAATGGCCTGTTTCCACACTGTAGGGATTCTAAAACAGAGATCAAAAGTGCATTCATACTTAATTGCGGTACCACATATGTGCTATGCAGGAAAGGCTAGACATTTTATACTTCATCCCCTTGCAATAAAGTCCAACATTCTATTTGTAAGGGTACATTAAGGGTAATTACCCACATGCCAACTTTTGTTAATCATGTCCAAGGGCACCCAGGTCTCTTTGTATCACACCATTCTATGGTCTCTCTCCATTTAAATAATATACTGCTTTTCTATTCTTCCCATCAAACCAATTTTCCACCTTGTACTCCATCCACCAAATAGTTACCCAGTTACATGACCTATCTACAGTACATCCTTTTACAAACACTGATTCCTCCTCAGAACTTTGCATCTTATACCAATACTGCAGTATCAGGCTGTGTAAAAAGACAGATACAGAAGTCAAAGCCTGTTACAATACTGTGATCTGATAATGCTTTCAATAGCATTATAAACAACCAAGAACAATTTTAGGTAATTTCTGATCACACAGATTCCAAGATTCATCACTTAGACACAGACAGTCTTGTATCACAAGTCCTACGAAATGATGCAACAAGCTCACAGACGTATTTTCAAATAGTCATCTACTTTCTGATTCAGGTAAACCCTAGGTATACAAACGTATATAATTAAATGCTTATATCTGCTGGATTTTGAGCCATCAGCGTTGAGTCATAGCTGCACGGAATAACCAGACCCTGAACATGATCGCTCATCCTGAAGAGTCACATGAACCCTTTCGTTCTGGCGTTTGGCATTCGAAAATTATAAAGCAGGAATGACAAAGCATAATGAATGAGAGGCATTTCATGAGCTCAGGCGGAGAGGTTTTGTTTCGCGGCCTCTCCCTGACACCGGCCGAGATACTCACAATGGCCTTGCTGTAGGAGGCCGCGGCTTCCTGATACTTTCTGCTGAGGAACAGGCGGTTTCCTTGCTCCTTCAGCTCCTGAGCAGTCAGGCTCTTCTCGGGGCTTCCGGACATGCTGTAGCTTTACCTCCCCCGCACCCCGGGTGAAAGCAGGACACAGGGGGCTTGGGGGGGAAAGAGAGAGAGGTGAAGTAAAACCCGACTTCCCCGCAGCTGCTGAAAGGCCTGAGGGTGTAGGAGAGTCCCCAGGCTGTGAGGGAGTAGCGGGGGGAAGGGGAAGGCCTAGGCCTAGGCCTAGGCCCAGTGGTGGGGGAGGGGAGGTTGCGGTGATAATGGGGAGCCTCCGGGAGGGATGAGGCCGGCCTCAGGAGCTCAGAGGCGGGACGCCGGGCGGAGAATCGGTCCGAGGAGCAGCGCCCGCTGTTTGTGTACAAAACGCACGCAACCGGCCGCGCACAACGGCGTCATCCACCGCGGACCCGCCGCCGACGTAAGCGCGTCCGGTGACGACATCTCCCCGCACCGCGGACCCCCGTGTCGTCCGCCGCCGCGTCCGCTGACCTCATCTCCTGGCGCCGTTACGGGCGTGTGAGCGATTCAGAACTCAACGAAAGCTACCCCCGTGAAGCCGGAGCGCCGCCATCTTGTTAATGGAAATCCTCCTTTCCTCCCCACAACCGCTCCATGCCCAGGATTAATACCGTTAAATTATAAAGTCAGGGTAAATATTAACTAACTCAGAGAGTGACGACTGTGTTTAATTCACTGCCTAAGGAGAATGATTAAGAATCAGGAACCCTCAGCACGTTGAGGAAGTTTTGGGATGAGCATTTGAAACGCTAGAGCATGCAGGGATCTTTTTGGTGCGGGTGGCGGTGTCCCTACCTCTGGGCCAGAAGTCCTGGCTTCAAGTCCCACCTGCTCCGGAGGTGTCTAATAACATCTGTGAACAAGTTCAGATAAAAATATCTACATGGCTAAGGACCAAGTGCGGGAAAATGGGATTAGAATGAATGGATGGGTGTGTGATGACTAGCAGTGTTATGATGGGCTGAAGGGCCTTTTCCTCATGCTGTTTACAATTCTATGAATTCTTTTTCACAGAGGGTCTTTGGAACTCCGCCAAAAAACCGTGGAAGCAGAGTCCCTGAATATTTTTAAGACCGATATTGATTGTTTTCTTTAACTCATTATAGGATGTGGGCATCTCTGGCTAGGTCAGCATTTATTGTCCACCCCTAATTGCTCAGAGGGCAGTTAGGAGTCAACCACATTACTGTGGATTTGGAGTCACATGTAGGCCAGACCAGATAAGGGTGGCAATTTCCTTCCCTAAAGGGCATTAGCAAATCAGATGGGTTTTTCCCCAACAATTGACAGTCGATTAATGGTCAACATTAGACTCTTAATTCCAGATGTTTATTGAATTCAAGTTCTACTGTCTGCAATGGTAGAATTCAAACCCAGGTCCCCAGGACATCACTTGGGTCTCCTCAGATTAACAGTCAAGTGATAACACCACTAGGCCATTCCTCCCCACTTGGTGGTGAAATGTTATCATGGGTAGGTGAGCATGTGGAGTGATCAAATCATATTGAATGATCTGCAGACTCAAGGCACTGAGTGACCTACTCCTGCTTCTGATTTGTACATCTATAAGGTTTGTGTTTCAAAAGTGATTAGTGCAACGACATTTGTGCAGTTATAATTGTCATTTTTATTTGCAGGTTGAAACTGCTTAGTGAATAAAGTAGCATGACTGGACATGAAATATTGTATAACTGCAAGAATCCTACCGTATGGAGGTCTATTTTTGCTGTCTATGGGGATGTGGTTGAAGCCAAGGCAATGGCATCCAAAGGGAAGAAAGCAAGCAAGCTGATTGCACTGGATAAATGGTGAGTGGTTGATCTTTCTTCCATAATTTAAAAGACAACAGCTCACAAATTACTTTTGGGGAAGGGTGAGTGGAGGGTTGACGAGAGATAACTCATATTGTAATGTTTATTTGAGTTCTTTGGGAAATTTAAGTACTTAGGCCTGAGACTAAGGATTGAATTTTCATAATGGGTTGAATGTCAGAGAATTTCCATATTTTCTAAGCCTGCCTCTTACCAGACAGTGCTCACCAGTGTTATATTCACCTACTGCATACTTTAAGTTATAACTTTAGAGCATAGCTGTGTTTTTGAGAAAGTGCATTTTTCACATGTGTTATCTACAGTGTACATTAGCTTGAGCCACAAAACAGCAATGAAACCATTAACCCTTAATTTTGACCTGGTTTTATGGCTCTATTCTTTAGAGAAGTTGTTTAACAAATAACCACAATTAATCAGAATATCCTCGAGTGCTGGAATAATTAAAATTACTAAATTATTATTGAAAACTAACTCAATCCTGCACCAAAAAGTGATTAGAGTCTAATCATGATAGGAGTGACAGGGCAACAGGGTGGCTTAGTGGTTAGCACTGCTGCCTCAGCACTAGGGACCCAGGTTCGATTCTATTCTTGGACAACTGTCTGTGTGGAGTTTGCACAGCCTGCGTGGATTTCCTCTAGGTGCTCTGGTTTCCTCGAACAGTCCAAAGATTTGCAGTTTAGGTGGATTCATCATGCTAAAATTGCCCATAGTGTCCAGGGAAGTCTACGTTGGATGGATCAGCCATGGGAAATGCAGGGTTTTGGGAGTAGGGTGAGGATTGAGTTTGGATGGGATGCTCTTCGCAGGGTTGGTGTAGACTCAATGGGCTGAATAGCCTCCTTCCACACTGTAGGGATTCTATGATGGGAGTGTGAACCTTTTGTGTGGGTGCAAACATGAGCTGCCTCAATCAAAGTGAATTGTATTTTAAGAATGATACCTATAGGGAGGCTGGCAAATGAGAACATTCGGAAAACTCAGCCAGGAGGTAATAAAGATGAAAGGTCAAAGATTCTGATGGTCACTCAGGGCAGCTTATAGCGATAATACTATCAGACCTGGAGAAAATGTTCCCAGTCCTGGCCCACTGTTGTAAATGCACTATTGCCTAAATCCAGCTTTTCTGAGCTCCATTTATCTTCCAAAGTTGCTGAGGCCCAGGAAATCCATTAGTTCACAATATAAAATCCATTAAAATGCAGTTTCCTTTTAACAGATTGTAATAATTGACTGATCTGAGGGTGAGTTGCACTCTGTCATACTTGTTTTTGATAGTTTAAATGATACAAGCGAACAATTAATGTGTTTTGATGGTGTTGATTAAGGGAAGACTATTGGTCAGCAAACCAGCAAAATACTCTAGTGCAATCAATATATTAAATAATAGCTAGGTTGTCTTTTTAATAAAAATGCGTATGTTATGTGGCCTATAATAAGGAAGGGAAAAGGTTATTTAAAATGTTTGCTCACTCACATGTATTTATGAGCAATCTGTTTGCTGATTCTTCTCCAACTCAGGTATCAAGAAGCATTACCAGAAGCTGTCTGTAGTCGCAAAGAGAAATTCCTCACTCACGCAGAACTGGTTCAGTTGATGGAGTGGAAACTGACAGTAAGTCTGCCATGTAGGGTTGGATTTATGTATTAAACACCAAGGTTGTTTCTGTACCTCGAATTAGTATTCAAGGATGGGAACACTGTCATTTATCCCCCTCCTCCGTACTTAAAGAATCAGAGCCTAGTTATTGTTCCTGGCCTGAGATTTACACAGGCTGGGATCAAATCTGCTACTCCCGGGCTTTAGAGGAGCTCTCTTTCATGTTTAAATCCAGAAGACCATTTCTTCCTTTTACAGAGGGTCAGGGGAAGTCTTATGGTGCAGTGAGTAGCACCGCTACACCATGACCAAAACAAGTCATGGGTAAACAGTATAAATACAATAATACAGCATTTAAACTACACTAAATGCTATTGTTTAGAGTTTTCCTGGAAGATATTGTTAATAATGTACAATTTCTGTCACAAAAACAGTTGAAACAGACTCTGAATTATTTCAAAAATGAATTGGAGTTGGTTGTATGATGGCAATTAGTTTCTATTGAATAATTCAGTAGAACCTCTGGGGCAACTTTTCACACAAAGGATGGCTCACATATGGATTAAACTGCCAGAGGAAGTGGTAGATGCAGGTACAGTTGCAACATTTGTAACATAGTTGGATAGGTCCATGAGTAGGAAATGTTTAGAGGTATGTGGGCAAAATGCAGGCAAGTGGGAATGGTTTAGTTTGGGAAACTTGGTTGGTGTAAACTAGTTGGACAAAGGGTCTGCTTCCATGGACTATGACTATCTGGGGTCCAAAGCCTCCCAGACTAAATGGGTGTGATATGCAAAACTATGTTCAGTATCACTTTGTGGTTTGTTAGCCATGGGAAGAGTTTAATAATTAACCTGCTAATCTATCCAACATGTCCGTGAAAAAGCAGGAATGAGTCCTGATCAGTCATACTTGAAGTGGAGTAGTGCACTTCAAGTTATAACCACTTGTCTCGGAATAGAGGGAGATACCAACGTTCCCTTTAGAATTGTGAGAAGCTGCCATAATCTTATCAGACCATAGAGCTGCTCTCTCATTAGACAGAGACGGCTAGTGGTGGTTTAACCTGAGGACCACCATGCCTGAGTTGAGGGGAGATTTGAGAAGGAGAGTCCTTCATAGTGCAGGAATTAAACCCACACTGTTGGCATCACTTTGCATCACAAACCAGCTATCTAGCCAACTGAACTAACCAAACCCTTTATAGACTGTAACTGCTCACAGACAAAATAACAGAGAAATTCTTCCTTTTGGTTTTTACCATTTCTGGTAAGAATAAAACCGGTGTAACTTGATTCTGTTTTTCAGGCTGTATTGTGATTTTATATGTTCACTGTTATATCTTACTTTTCCTGTTGCTTCTGTCTAAATACACAGATCCTGAGGATGTCATAAGCTGCTCCATGAATAAAAAAGGAGCATCTGTTTGGTCTGGGAGCCTCTGAACCACACGTCTTCAAGGAACGTTCTAAACTGTAGCATTTAGTGTAGTTTAAATGCTATATTATTATATACATAATGTTCACCTATATCTTTTGGTCTTGGTGCAGTAACAAAACTTACATCCTCATTGAGTTGAAACTTCATAACCAAGGTTTAGTTTTAAAAACTAGGAATGTCCTGGTGTGTCATCTTCCTGAACTTTTTCTGATGCCTCTATACAGTATTAATGTTGAAGGAGACCAAAACTAGATGCAATATTCCAAATATTATCTAAGCAAAGTCTTCTACAATGTTAAAATAGTTTGTTTTGTTCTATATTCAATGGTTGAATATATTCTATATTCAATACAGATGTACTCCAAAACCTTAGATATTCAATGGTTGTGATTACAACCCAATGCGCTCCATTTGTTTTGGCTATGTTTCTTGGCATTGTTCATGTACCTTTAGTGGATAATATTTTGTAACAGAAAAATTCAATTCTCCCTCAGCTGACTTCTGTTTTCTTCCCTATAACTTAATGTTGGTTGAATACCATTTGGCAGGTTTAACTCCCTCTCTCGCAATGCAAACTGCTACAGAATATCATTCTCCCTCACAGTATAAAGTTGTGCAGGAGCCTGCAATATCTTATTATGCCAGTGCAACTAGACTGAGCATCCTTGGGTTATGCAGCATACTTTTGTGAAAGATATAATCTGGTTGTGCTAGAATACATGAAGGTGAAGCAATGGGTCCTGTATGTATAGATGTGGCAGAATACTGGACTAAGGAACATACAGTGTCATAGAGTATTAGGTTGTTTTAAAGGGGAGTGTACAGTTTTTTTTCAGGTTGTAGTGGGACTGGGATGGGAATCTGTGTTGCCTAAATGTGTAGCTGGCTATGTTACCATCAAAGGACTCAATATCTAAGACCCGGCTCCTTATTTGTTGACTTTAAACTCAAATGATATAATTGAACTTAACTCCAAGTTACAAGAACAGAAGTTGCTGATTTACAGCATTCGCAGTTCTTTCTGTTTTTAACTCCATTTTAATTTGACTTTTCTTTCCCTTTATCCTGCTATCCATAGCGGGGCAAGTTCCGCCCAACATTGCAGCAGATGGTAATGAGTAATTCCAGGGAAAGTGTGGAGGCCTGCACACGAAAAGCTTTCAAGCTGCTTCCTGATGTTTCAGCTGCAATCACAGAGCTCAGTAAACTGAAAGCCGTAGGACCTGCTACGGCGTCGGGTAGGAAAGAAAACACTTTTCCGATTAGTTGCATCGCTAATTCATACAGTGAATCTGCATTATAAAGAAATCTTTTATCTCACTTTTATGCTTAGCTGTGCTTGTGGCTGGTGCTCCCCAGGAAGCTGCGTTCATGGCAGATGAAGCAGTGGAGTCAGTCCCAGGCTTGGTTCCCATTAAGTACACACTTAAACACTACATCCTGTACCTGCATAAAGTGAGGGAGCGTGCAACGCAACTCAACAATGGTAAGTTTCTCTAATTTTCCCAGCTGTCCACTTGCTGTGTGCTGAAAGGCAAATTCTGCTGGTGTGTTAATGTAATAATGTTGAGGATGTACTAAGAGTTAATGTCATAGACATTGATCTGAACAAGGTGATTTTAGTAGTTTTACCATTCACTTTAGAAAATGTATTAAAGATGTTCTTTTGCAAAGGCCCTACTTTGTATGTAGAGTGAGTACAGGGAGTACATGATGTGGAGGTGCTGGTGTTGGACAGGGGTGGACAAGTCAGAAGTTGCACCGCCCTGCAAGCTTGTGACTTCAAATAAACCTGTTGGATTAGAACCTGGTGTCGTATGACATCTGACTAGAGGAAACACAGAAAGAGTTATGTTTGAATAAGAGTTGGGAACAATTCTATTGTACTGTGGTAAAGTAAGAAAGGACCTTTCTCTGAAGTCAAACTATTGTGCTGAAATTAACAATTCTTGCTTTGAATTTTGTTCAGTGCATCGCTCCTGTTTCTCAATGTTGCAATAGTGACTAGACTTCAAAAGTAATTAATTTTCTGACAAGCACTTTCCTGAAGCTGTGCAGGATGCTTCACATATACATACTTTATCTTTCTTTAGTCACCTGTCTAACAAGTCAACCCGCCTAGATATAATATTGTCATGTTATTGGATAAACTGGTCTATTTCAGAAAAGTGAAGCTAAGCTTGGGATCTACTAGGACAGTAGGCTTGTATCATAGAATTGTCAACCTAGAACAGTACAGCACAGCATAGGCCCTTCGGCCCACGATGTTGTGCCAACCTATTATCCTACTAAAATCAATCTACCCTGCATACCCTACATTTTACTATCCTCCATGTGCCTATCCAAGAGTCGCTAAAAAGTCTCTAAAGTATCTGACTCCACTACTACTGCCAGCAGCGCATTCCACACGGCCACCACTCTCTGTGTGAAGAACTTATCTCTGACATCTCCCCTATACTTCCTCCAATAACCTTAAAAGTATGCCCCCTCATAATAGCCATTTCCGCCCTGGGAAAAAGTCTCTGGCTATCCACTCTATCTATGCCTCTCATTACCTTGTAAACCTCTATCAAGTCGCCTCTCATCCTTTAAGTCACATAAAGCTTTCCAAAAGTATTAGATAAAGTACCACAGGTTGGACATGTTAGCAAAAATAGAATAAAAGAGACAGCAGCAGTATGGATGCAAAAGTGGCTAAGGGATAGAAAACAGAATTTGCAGACTGGAAAAAGATAAACAGTGGAGGTCCCAGTGGCAGCATGGTGGCTCAGTGGTTAGCACTGCTGCCTCACAGCGCCAGGGTCCCAGGTTCGATTCTAGCCTCAAGTGACATCTGGGTGGATTTTGCACAATTTCCCCGTGTCTGTGTGTGTTTCATCTGAGTGCTCTGGTTTCCTCCCACAGTCCAAAGACGTGCAGGTTAGGTGGATTGGCCATGCTAAATTGCCCATAATGTCCAGGGACGTGCAGGCTAGGTGGGTTAGCCATGGGAAATGGAGGGTTAGAGGGGTGGGACTGAGTGGGGTGCTGTTCGGAGGTTCGATGTGGACTTGATGGCCTGCTTCCACAACGTAGGGATTCTGTGATTCTGAAGCAGGACCACTCTGTTTTAAATATGCATTAATAACTTTGTGAGTAGCTGTTTAATTCACTGCCATTGAAAGGAATGTGTTACAGTGATGGCCTGTGTTATGGTATGACAGTACTTGGGTTTTCTATGAGGTAATGGTGGATTCACCTTTTACAGATGATTCACTGAAGGATTGGACCCCTCACAGAATTGAACAATGTCTTTGGACTTGGGCTGTGGGCCAGCAGATCAAACCTTTGTTGCTGAAGGGGATCGTGCTGCATCAAAGTAAAAGACTGGGCAAAGAAGAAGGCACAACAGCAAGACCTGCGAAAAGGCAGAAAACGCAATGTTGAAAGCAGCCACCTCCTGAGTGAGAAATGTTAAATTCTAGCTTTAGACTCTTGGTGCAGGAAATAGCACAGAGAGTGAAAACCGTTCAGTAAAACCAGACTCGAGAGTACAGGGAATCCCAAACCAGAGGTCATGGTTCCCAGACTGCAAAGCACCGACTCAGATTTGTCAGCCCTGGGATCAGCTGAAAAGCCTCTTTAAAGGCTTGTGATTTTTGGCCTGTGAGCAGGGCCTTATGAGCTCGGAGGCACAATTATTGTCATCTACACAACCTGCAAAAGTGGTAGGTGATGTTGCTCTTCGTGCCTAGGTATCCTGCAGTTTGATTTTTTTTTTTATCCCCCCCCAAACCACCTAACAATTGTCTCCCATCCCCCACAATTCTCACCCTGAGGTTATACCTCAAAATAGGGTTATAGCAGAAAAACGCTTTCAGAAGCACTGCACAATATTGAAAGGCAAAGGACACTATTGTCCCCCAGAGTCATAACAACATAAAACCATCTTGCTTTTTATGTATACTCAGTCCAACAAATCCCATCCCACTTGAACGTGTCGCACATGTAAAATTTATATATAACGCAATCTAAATTTATATATAAATTCTATGTGTACCTGTTTGGCCATAAAAGTGGCAAAATAATCTCAATGAACAAGACAGCAGATCTATCAATGGGCCAGCAGCAATTTGAAAAAATGATAAAGAAGGCCAGTAATTTCTTGTTGGTTTCTGCTGATCTTGGTAACCTGTCCTATCGCTAATAGGTGAAACGGGTGATTTACAAGCAGCTATACTCTTTATTCAGCAACAATGTGTAGTTGCTTATTGACATCACAATATGGCTGTTAAGATACTTGACTTATGGTCCTGAATGGGCAGTCAACGTTGAAAATAGCTTTACCTTGGTGAAAAGGAATGAACTGTGTGTTGCTTGATTTATGCTGCTGTCGGTATCTTTCAATGCTATTGAAGATTTGCTTGTACCAGATTTTGAAAAATGAAAGAGTGACGCATTAAAAAAAATGAATTGGAGCTGGTGTCTCAGGGAATCCATGTTTTCCAACATAGTGAGTTGACTGTTTCCTGATCCCACTGCTTCTATTTGGTGGATGCTCCAAATTTCTGTGCAAAGTGACAAATATTGAAGTGATGATTGTGCATGGGCATAATATTGGCAGTAATCCCTGGTTCCAAGATAAATAACTGTGATAAACTTAAGATTTCAAACTAGAGAATGCATAAAGTACAAATATAAAAATATAACTCTTCTTTCAGATTGTAGATTTTTGTTTGAAATATCATCAATATAATTTAATGAAACCACGGAGATCATTAAATTTTTGTGTATTAAATTCAACAGAACCTGCTTATAATAGAACCAAATGTTCTACTTCATGGAGCAGTAAATTGTATCACCAATCATTGAAAACTCATGGCTCCATTCACAAAGTATTTTATGTCAAGATTTTTCTTGGGTTCTGTTGATCTTTTGTTGTAAATTTTGGCAGAAACTCCATTTCTCGTTTAGCTGAAGTCTCTGTCCATCATGCCCACCAGTCAGAGGGCCCAGAGAAAGTTCCTGTCTTGAATATCTGCTGATTTTAAAGTCTTTAAAACGTTTCACCGAATGAAACTATCAAAAACTTGGGGCCTAATTGCAAAACTCATTTGGTTCGAGTTAAAATTGGCCTCTTTTTGAGGTCCAATGATGATGATTGTTTTACCACAAGTACATGCTGAGTTTAAGGTAAGGTGTAAAATCTGAAGCAAAAGTTTCATCCTGTTGTTTAGATTAGACTCTTGGAAGTGAATTTCATCAGCATTTCTCTTGGTTCTGTTTACGCTGCTCTGCTGAATTAGTCAGTTCACTGTGATTGAATTTTCTATTTTCTTTAAATTCCTGAGATGAGAACATTTTGCCATTTCAAATTCTGCAGTTTTTCTGTTACTTTTGCTTTGCATTATAATGCAATAACTTGTCACTGATGGTTTACTTAGTTGTATGATCACTTTGTGCCTGGTCTATGTTAATAAATTGGACATGCAAATTAATATTGTTCCCCGTTAAAGTTTAGTGTAACCCTACACTGCCTCCACAACACTGACTTGTATATCATACTTTTTACAGCTGAATTCTTTAAAAATGATTTTATTATGCATTACTGGCCTTGCCATCTCATTGCATTGCAGTATTTTGTAAATTAAATTGTGGAGATTATATGCATTCCTTTCCAATAAATTTTGTTGTTAAAAAGAAATGCAAGTTTGTGCCTTTGGTGAAATCTATCACGCACAATTAGAGACCAATATAAAGTTCGCATGGTCATTCGTGACCACAGCTTTATTCAGTCCATTGTAGAGCATTAGATGTCTGAGCTGCCAGAGGAAATGGTGGAGGCTGGTACAATTGCAACATTTAAAAGGCATCTGGATGGGTATATGAATAGGAAGAGTTTAGAGGGATATGGGCCAAATGCTGGCACATGGGACTAGATTAATTTTAGGATATCTGGTCTGCATGGACAAGTTGGACCAAAAGATCTGTTTCTGTGCTGTACATCTCTTTGACTGTAAACATGAATAGGAAGGGTTTAGAGGGATATGGCCCAAATGCTGGCAAATGGAACAATATTAATTTAGGATATCCGGTCAGCATGGACAAGTTGGACCGAAGGGTCTGTTTCCATGCAGTATGACTCTATGATTCAAACATTAGCAACCTACGTGCAATGAAATGTCCAAAGGTGTTTTATGGGAGAGCCAGTAGACAAAACGTGCTCAAAATTTCAGTCAGGAATGGTTGAAGACTGGGTGAGTTTAGTGATCTTAAGTGCTAATTTTTTTAACATTTTACTATTGTGAGAAGTGTGAGTGAGCCTTTGATTGACCCTCCTGAGTTAGCTGGTGCAGGGTCTAAACCTCTGTAGTTGGTCCTTGTGTTCCAGCTCTCAATTTCAGGTTGTTTGCCAGCAACATACTCTCTGATGTATGTATGTGATGCTCTCCCTCATTGTACAAGCAGTGTGTGTCTATTAAACCATAATGCCAATAACTGGTATACAAATAATACTGACTGCTTACAACTGTTAATATATTTGTGAACATTGCCACCATTTCACTCTGTAAGAAAAGGGTGGAAAGATTTTTATTTTTAAAAAATCAAAACTCAGATCAATTGTTTTAAACAGGATACACATTAATCTCTGAACTACATGTTGCGGAAGTTGAGTTATTTCAACAGCTTCTAAAATTTTAACAGGTTGCATGAATTAGGTACGAAATAATGCATCCACAAGAGTATTACTGACACCAGTCAGGCAATCCAAACAACCATACCAGCCAGAACCTTACCAAAATTGGTAGTGATCCTTTGAAATGGTTAATGTTGCAAAAGGATTAAATACAGATTCAGTTAGAAGTGTTTGTAGTAAAATAAATGCAAGTAGAATGCAAAAATCCAGACTAGGGAGTGAGTTACAGAAACTAGGATGCTGGTGAGAGTCAGCAATCAGCAGGATAAGGAGAGGCCTTGGCTAAACATGAACAATGCCCCATATATGTACTCTGGGAAATAAGTGACGTCTGGTTTACATATGGTTGTAGGTTGATCAGAACACAGTTGGTATGTGACCGGAAGTGTTTAAAGCTGAAAACTTGTGGATTTTAGCAGAGCTTAGTCTTATAATTATAGGGCTGTTTCTCCTTGTGTTTGTTTGTATAAGTGATCATAATCTGTGCCTGAATCTTCTGTGGTTTGTCAAGTTGTGTGACAACATCCTTGAACCAACATTAGACCTCTTGAGTGGCATATCCAATTAAATCAATGATGATCAACATTATCGTGAATTAAAGGCATTTTTCGCATTTCTGCTTAAGCTGAATAAAATTAATGGCCATGGTAGCTTGGCAACATTGAGTAGATTACTTACTTCTGTTTTCTGATTGGCCTGAGTGTTCGCTCAGCTGCAATAGAAGTAGAATATATTTCAAATTTCCCATTCGATATCAACGGAAGAATTATATTGAATTGATAAGAAATCTCTCATAAATCAAATGTCATTTTCTTGGTGGTAGTGACATTGAGATCAAAATCTTTACAATAAGAGTAAAGCTTAAAGTAGGATTGTCCCCTATCAGTGATCTTATTGTGCCAGGTTGAAATTGATAGTAAATTGGGCAACATTTTCCTTTAACATCACACACTCACTTACCTAAGAGAATATTTTCCTCCAGCAGAGAGTTCTATCCAGCCTCAGCAGAACTTAAACAGAAATAAACACAGAGAATGCTAGAGGAACTCAGCAGGTCTGGAGAAAGAAACTGACTTAATGTTTCAGTTCTGAATAAGAGTCATTTGGGACTTGCAACGTTAATTCTGTTTCTTGCTCCGCAGATGCTGCCAGGCCTGCTGAGTTTCTCCAGCATTCTGTGTTTGTTTCTGATTTCCAGCATCTGCAGTATTTTGCTTTCATTTGAGAACTTAAACTGATGCTCATAAAGATTCCAGTTCATTCCTTACAACTGTATGAACCTTATAATTGTTCATGTCCACTTTGAAGAATCGACCCCTCGACGTTTCAAACCACAACAAATGTTTTAAAAGTGAATAACTTGCCAAATCAAAGTGCTATAAACTATCGATGAAGTGACTTTCAAAGCTTTGCAGTAATGCAAAATCAGAGAAGTGAATATCCTTGGAAAATGGTAGCCTGTAGAGTTAATTGTTTGAAGTTGTTTCATATATAGTATGATTGTTTTCCATTGGCCTGTTTGATAATTATTTTAGCATCGTATACCTTTTTTCAAATTCCTTGCAGGCAGCCCTGTCAATCTGAACAAAAGAACAATTGCTACCACTTGCAGCCTTGAAAATAACAAAAATCTTCTGGGGATTTAAACTTTGTAGCCTGGAAGTTTCTGTGAGATTTTGCTGCTGTTTCTTCCAGCGTACTTCACCTGAAATTGACTAAACTAAGGCAAACTGGGTGCAAACAATGTCCGACAGTCCCATATTACCAGATAATTAATTGCACTCACTTATAGGTCATTGGAGAGCTCCCAATAATGAAGGTGGAGGGTTTCTTTTGGGCACAATAACAGTAAAAAACCTTAGAGCCCACAGCGCTATTTCAAAGCCAGGAAGTTATCCCTATTAATGTGGTTAATGTATGTCTCTCTCAATCAACATTACAAAAAACTGCTTATCCGGTCATTCCTGCTTTGTTAACCATTTTAACAGTAATAGAAAAAATGTCATCAGAATTCAGATGTTAGTCTGTAGGCCAATGCAGCAGAAGCAGAAATATCTTTTCAATGCTTTCAACTATTAACAAAAGTGATTTGCTAAGAAACTGATTGTCTACCAGTAAATTTAGTGAATAGTTCTGTATAGATTTTGTAAAGTTATTTTCAGATTTAAGCATCAGATTGGCCATAAATGTTGAACTAGACAGATTTCAACATTTAATTTTTGTGATAAATTCATTTTCAGCTCATTAGTAAAAGTGCACAGCTTAGGGTGTCAGAGTGGCTCAGCAGTTAGCACTGCTGCCTCACAGCGCTTTGGACCTGGGTTCGATTCCACCCTCAGGTGACTATCTATGTGGAGTTTGCACATTCTCCCTGTGTCTGCGTGGGTTTCCTCCGGGTGCTCCAGTTTCCTCCCACAGTCCAAAGATGTGTGAGTTTGGTGGATTGGCCATGCTAAATTATCCATAGTGTTCAGGGATGTGTAGGCTAGGTGAATTAGCCATGGAGAATGCAGGGTGACAGGGATAGGCTAGGGGGATGGGCCTGGGTGGGATGCTTTTTAGAGGGTTGGTGTGGATTTGTTGGGCTGAATGGCCTGATTCCACACTCTGGGGATTCATTCTGTTCTTACTGCTCATAAATATATTAAGGAATACTTTAGAATGCATTTAAAAATAACTTTCTAAAATGCTTCCCAATGGTTCTGATTCGGGAGATTTTAAGTTCAGTGATATACAAATAAGTTTGAGTGGATACTTCAATGAAGCATCATTTCTGAGCATTACTGCAAGTTTAAATCAAATTTGCACTCAGATTGTTGACTAGAAATTGACTGTTGCCTAAAGTATAAGCATCCAACACTTTTAAAACAAGTGTTAAAAATTCAAATATTTGAATATTAGATTAAATTTCTTAATCCTAATTCCAAAGTAAAAGTCTTACCATTTCTTGCAAGTCAACCATCCTCAAATTGCCCCTGAAATATACTTATAAGTGAATGATTTTCTCAATAATGCTCTTCACAGTATGTTAGAAGGTGTGCTGTTTCACAGAAGGAATGTAATACAATCTGTACTAACCTGCTGCTCCCCTGTGTACTATTAAGTTTAATTACAGTGCCTTGTTGAAATCAATGTTTGGGTTAATTACAGGCCAGGCTGGCTTTTCTCCTTTTCAGTGTGATTGCTAAAGTATTTAGAAGTTATACACATTTCAATTCAAGGGTCAGTAAGGGATAATCTGTTGATTGGAGAGTTTCTCTGCAGTTTATCTGCAGATTCCAACTAATTGGTATTCATTCTCTTTCAAAGTACTTTATTTTGAAGTGTGATACAGAAAATGCTTCACATTCAAAAGCAAAATATTGTAGATGCTGGAATTCTGAAATAAAGACTTGCTATAGGAAAGATGTTGTTAAACTTGAAAGGGTTCAGAAAAGATTTACAAGGATGTTGCCAGGGTTGGAATGTTTGAGATATAGGGAGAGGCTGAATAGACTGGGGCTATTTTCCCTGTAGCATTGGAAGCTGGGGGGTGACCTTATAGAGGTTTATAAAATCATGAGGGGTGTGGATAGGCTGAATTGTCAAGGTCTTTTCCCCAGGGCAGGGGAGTCCAAAACTAGAGGGCATAGGTTTAAGGTGGGGGGCGGGGTGGAGATTTAAAAGGGACCTAAGGAATGATTTTTTCACGCAGTGGATGGTGCATGTATGGAATGAACTGCCAGAGGAAGTGGTGGAGTCTGGTACAATTACAACATTTAAAAGGCATTTGGATGGGTATATGAATAGGAAGGGTTTAGAAGAATATGAGCCAAATGCTGGCACAGGGACTAGATTAATTTTAGGATATCTGGTCTGCATGGACAAGTTGGACCAAAAGATCTGTTTCTGTGCTGTACGTCCCTTTGACTGTAAACATTCACAGGGAGATGGTGATATAGTGGTAATGCCATTGGACTAGTGAGCTAGAGGCCCAAGGTAATGTTTTATGATCATGAGTTCAAAGTCCACC